TCCGTATCTTTCGCATGGAATCGCTCAATCAGTGTTTCAACCGTGGAAAGACGTCAGTAAAACAATTGTAAACAATGTAATGTAACGTCACATTTACCTAAAAAACAAACATATCCAGTGCCCATAAACTCGTTAGCTAGCTAGAAAAATTAACTCTAGAGGAGCATTGTGCCTAATATATGCACCATATTACATATTCATTATAATGTTTAATGTTTTTCAATATTTAATGCATGTTGTTTGAAAAAAATCTGGCAAGTTGTTATGCAGCCACCATTTAAATGTTTATATTTCATACAACTTTATTATTATAAAAAAAAAAAAAAGTGTAATTTAAGTGTTTGTGTACAAATCAGGTAATTTTTACTTTCAATATTATAGTAGGCTAATGAACCATAGTGGGCTACAACTGACTCCCAGTTTACAGCATTAGTTAAGAGATTTGTTTTTCTTGAGAAAATTTGCCATGTATTGTACCTGATATCCAAAATAATCAATATTGAATCTAATTGTGAAATTTGTGTCAATACCCTGCCCTAACTTGAACAATGTAAAAACAGCACTTTAATTTTTTTTTTTTTAAAGATTTATATTTTTATATACAGTATAATTGTGCTTCAAATAAAAGAAAAAAACTACACCTTATTCTTGTTTAAAAGCATTTACATAATATATATGAATATATGGAGCGTGATAAAAAGGTGACCTTGAAATTGTGGCGTTAAAGGCGACGTGAGACGAGGAAAAATTTGAGTGCACCTAAATTTTGTGCTGGTGCACCTAAATAAAAAAGTTAGGCGCACCAGTGCAACCAAGGTAAAAAGTTAGTCTGGAGCCCTGTAGGCTAATTCAATCCAGGTAATTGGTTGATGAAAAATTGATTAAAATTAAGATACAATTTATACAAAACGAAATTCACTTTAAAGAAAGGCTTTCTACAAAACAACACTTAATGAGGTGGTAGAAATCATGTCTGGCCATGTCTCCCGATATATTGCGTAGGCTATACTTTTCATAATAAACATAGATGAAAAAAAAAAACATTATAATAAATATGAAACTAAATGCGCTTATTATGGCTACAACACATAGGCTACAGACTCTATTTGTACATATTGCTGCACATTCATTTAATTCAGAATTTTGCACACAAGTTGAAAGGCATTTGTTTGTGCATAGTAAAACATATCTGCAACATTTATCAAGTTCACTGATAATTGTGCGTGCATTTATTAATCAATATGATACTAAAATCATAATAAAGTAGTAGGGTTCCCTTTCAATAGTCCAAATTCGCGCGCTGCCATTTTCGTCTTTCTTCAGTGGATTTCTTGGTCAAATTCAGATAGATCGACAAATCGGCTCATTCAACTGCACAGCGCACACACCTCACGAATTCAAGCCTACTTCTCCTGAACTTTTTAGACATGTTTAAAAATTATCGTGAGGTCGAGAGGTTCGGCTCGGCTCGTATCTTCCTAGCACACACGAGCCCAACATGCGAGCACAACCGATTTCCACGCGATTTCTCCAGAGTGAAAAAAATCATTTGCGAGCTCGTAAAACAGCAAAAAATCGCACCGTGTAAGCCCGCCTTAAGGGAGTATGAATATATAAACAGACGTTTCAGTATTAAATGCATTTTCTGATAATTTATATTTCAAGTTTTGACTGCAAATGTCACGTCCACAACGCTGGAATTGCCCAATTTTAAAGAATTTATCCTCAACAAGTTGTTTTGGTGTATGTCTACGTATTTTATTATGTTAACTTCAAATAATACGAATAGTAATTTAAAAATGTGGTAGCCCTATGCAGGCACGGCGCCAGGATTCCAGGTTTGGATGGGCCAGACCATTTGTGGGTGGGCCTTAAATTAAAAACGTTATCCAATCACTGTTTAACCTAATAAAAATTACTGACTGTAGGCTATTAAACTAATTTGTAGGCTACCTAGGCTATACATAATATAGATTTTAATAGCTTGATGCTCTTTAAATATTTTGTTGCATTGTTAAAAAGTTTCGGTGCATGTGGAGTCAGGACGGACCTCGCGATCGCTCTCCTTGGTTCTGACCAAAAGAAGAGCGCTTTTGGAATCTCCATTACGCATCATACCTGGGCTGCGTTTCCCGATAAAAGAAAAAGTCAATCAATCAAAAAAAAAATCAATGTTTTATCAACCAAATGCCTGTATTTAATAAATAAGAAGCAAATATATAGCAGACAATGTAATAAGGCGCCCGCACGATCACTTGCATTGCACGACAACTGGAGCATGTTTCCGCCACAGAGTGAAAAATAAAACATTGTGAGATTTTTTAATCTCACAATTCTGACTTTTTATCTCAGAATTACGTGATATAAAGTGGCAATCGCAGGTTAGCTATAAAGTCAAAATTGTCTGATATAGGCCTAAAGTCGCAACTGTATGTTATTAAGTCAAAATTGCGTGATATAAAGTGCGAGAAATATAGCTTGAAATTCTGACTTTTTTTCACAGAATTGCATGTTTATATCTCGCAATTCTGACTTTATAATACGCAATTGGGAGATATAAAGGCAGAATTGCATGATATAAAGTCGCAATTGCGTGTTACAAAGTCAGAATTGAATTGTGAGATATAAACTATTCTGGGGTAAAAAAAAGAAGAAAAAAAGAAGCAATTGCGACTATTTCACGCAATTCTGACTTTATAACACGCAATCGCGGCTTTATTTCACGCAATTCTGAGAAATAAAGTCAGAATTGTGAGATGTAAACTCATTGTGAAACTCGAGATACATCTCACATTGTGAGATGTAAACTCACAATTGTGAGATAAAGTCGCAATTATCTTTTGAAATGTTTTATATGGCGGAAACAAGCTTCCATAGTAGCCTAGGCTATATATAGCCTGCCCTTTTTAAGTAGCCTAATTAAATTAATATAAAGGGGCGATTGCCCACTAATGGACAAATGAACAACTAGTCGACTAGGGGAAAAAAATAGTCGGAGGCTAGCTTATTCAACATATCTTCGAAGTTCGAACCAGCAGGCCACTGGGTTGAGCGAGTGACCCTGCGGAATGAGCGAACAGAGCGGAATATTCAGAAATGCGCTCTCCGCTCACATGCTCTGATCGGAACAAATACGAACACTGTCTGCTGAACTTGCGCAGAAACATCAAAATAGACATAACCAGCTTTTTAAAATTGTTTTTAAAACTAAACATTTAGACTATTAGCACAAATTATGAGCTTATTGTTATAATTCTTGACAAAACATTTTTGAAGAAAAGTTTTGGGTGGGCCTAACCCATAACGCCGTGCCTGGCCCTATGTCCAACACATCACACTCCACTTTTATTGTGGCAATTTCAGTAGATTTGCTCACTAACATTGTTGTGGAAACACAATAAGAATGGAAACTAAACTAGTATCGTGCTACAGCGCACATCAGCTGCAGTTCTGGCGCCTCAGTCCCAAAAACTCGACGTACATTCACATCACATGTTAATGCAGCGGTAGAGTAGCACTCACAGGACACTGCACTTATTCGCAATCCCAAAAGTTCATTATTTGCTCGTGCTTTAAAGCTTTGCCGGGTAAACATTTCATTGGCGTTCTGTTCTAATGCACTTTTTCTGAGCGCGTAGCCTACTGAAGCGCGCGCACACTGTCAGACAGCGCCAAACTGGATTTTTTGTTGGGTCAGACCCATCTGATAGCGATGGGGGGCCGAGACCGAGAGAGCTGTAGCTACATGGAAAGAAATATGCACCAAACAAGCCACTTTGAAAATTAGCTGTTTTGATGAATACAAAAGTTAGGTGACCCTCCCCTATAGACTAAAAAAAGTTGGATGACCCTCCCCTCAACAAAGAATAAAAATACATGACCCTCCCCTATTTTCCTCCGGTGGCCCTTTCCATAAATTCCGAACGGTCCCTTACTGATGTTAATGTATGTCTCAGTCAAAAAAATTGTCTTTACCATTCAGAGACATGTTGATGTAGACGTCCTTCAATTGACTGTTGTTCCTCTTCCGTTTCCAGCTCTGGTTCAGAGTCTGGCTCAAACATATACGGTTGAATCCCGTAGGTCGCGGCCAGGTTGGGTTCATTAACAACTTGCGCCATGATCTCTTTTTGGAATGATATGCTGAAGTTACCTGCAGTGTCAAGCCCCCTCCTTCCTGCCACCAATCAACGCGCCCCTCATTTGCATTATTAAAATGACCGTCCACGACAGCCAAAACCTCGCATCAGATCTCGCGAGACAATAATGCATTCAGAAATAAGGGTCAAACGAGCTGTGTTTATTTTTTTCCAATTTTTCTTTTTTAGAAGGGCATGAAATGACTATAATAGAGCGTGGGTATCAAAGTTAATACTACATTATGACTCCTTTAAGGCAGAATGTATACAACTAAATTCAATGGAATTCAATGGCACCCGGTGGCTATTTTTGGCACTACGCCTAAACAAAATCTCATGGGAACTTCAACTTTTGTGATATCAACTTCAAATTTGGAACATAACTTGGTTAGATTTATGGCTTTGATTTTATAGTAATTTTAGACTAAAAAAATATTTTGTAAAATATATATTATATAAAATAAAAAATATATAGTACAGTATATTTGATTTACTGTAAATTTAAACTTCCTTAACTTTTTCATACTTTCATTTTTTGAAGTGATCTCACTTCAGCAATAATCTGCTGAGTGTTTTCTTTAAAACAAGACCAAACTTGGGTATATATTCCAAAGCATTCTTGAATTACAACCATTTAAGTTTGAATAGTGCATTTTAACCCCCATTCTCAAAAAGGGGTGACAGCTAAAGCTATGAAACTTGGAGGATGTCTTAATGGTAGAAAAACCTCTTATGCGTAAAACAAAAAATCAAGGCAAATTTGATTTCTCATGTCGTGACCCCTTTAAAAGTAACTTTTCACAATACTGTGTGTATACTTAGCAAAAGGTTCATTGGAAAAGAGTGAAGTAATGTACGTACAGATTTCCACTTGTCATCTCTTAACTTGTTACAGTCTCCAGTGCCAGGAATATCAACAAGCACAATGTGTTCCAGGAGTTCATAACGATCTGGAACCTTAAAAGTCACACTCTTCACAAGCGGCCAGTACCAGCCACCAGGACTGGCCTCACTGTGCTGTATGTAAGATGCAACATCATTGGAAAATTCAGAGACCTGTTGAGGAAATAAGTAATGTTGGATATTCATTTACAAATTCATAATACTTTAAATGTTATGAACCATCAGGCATTAACATATTTGGTTTACTAACTTACATCATTGTTTGAGATTGTTTTCTTATTGATAGACAAAAAGGTCTCAATCTCAGGAAATTTGTCATAATTTTTTAGCTCTTCTAATGTTTTCTTGTCTGCATCAGCTCCATACAGTGCAGTGATCTTTTCTACAGCAATTTCCAACAAGTCATCATTCCTGTCCTCACTTTCATCAGACAAAACTCTGAAAAGATCTTTGAGCTCTTTCTCCCACTCCTGCAGAGGGACAATATAGAAAATAAGGCTTTATTTCCTTCCAGTCTGGTTTATTAAAGTACTCTCAAAGTAAAGCGTAGTAAAATGAATACAAATGAAAAAACCTCTTTAGAGAAGAGTTCAATCTCTGCTGTGTAGTTGGAGTCAGTTAGATTGGCTTCCACCTGAGTAACAACGGCTGTACAGGCACCAAAACTACCAGATGGCAGTAGATACTTTTTCCCCAGGACTGCACTTAATAGGGAGCTCTTCCCTTCTCCTGATTTTCCAAAAATCCCAATGGTTACCTTCTTACTACTGACATTATTCATTTTATTTATCTTTGACATAATGTCTCTGTGCATAATGACTGTGTGGACTAAGTTATCAGTGACTCTTTTCATGATTTGCTTTGCCTTCAACATGATCTCCATATCTGCACAATGAAGAAGAGAATCACAATAAAGAATATTTAAAGCACATAAAGAAAATGTGGGCAGATCTTCTACCAAGTGATTTGTTACGCTGGTAGTTCCAGATTAAGTGTAAACAGATTCAGATTATACTTGCCTATCAGCAGACTCTCTCTGCTCGAGTCAGACGAGTCCTCGAGTTTTTCATCCCACTTTCTTTTAGTACCTACAAAAGAATTAATTCCACTTATTATATGTCCTCAATCACTGACTGTAAAGCAAAAACATTTGGGTTTTTTTAGAAACTTTTATACCTTGGCTAGCCATTGTGAGATCGATGGAAAGACCTGGAGGGGGAAAAACACTTGTATCAAGCACTTTCTAGATGTTTTAACCAACTTTATGTGCCCCACAGTTTTACTTTTTATAGCAAACATTGTTTAACCTACATTTATTATTCACAGATTTTATCCAGTTATATTGAAATTATTCTTTATTCAACTTACAGCTAAAAGGGAGACCTGATGATTGCAAAACGTTTTGCTATAATTATTTTTCTAATAATTCAACGGCCTGAAATCAATTATTCCGGTTATACTACAGTTACCACACCTTGAAACATTGTTCTCAGATGATGCATTTCAAGACGTTTGTCAAGTTTTTGTCATTGAAACGCTCTTGTAGTAGGGCTGGGTAAAAAATATCAATTTCTCGATATTAATCGATTCTCATTTTTACGAACCGATATCGATTCTTAAATCTCAAGAATTGATTAGTCATCCTGTTTTCATTTGATGAATGAATGGAACATTGTAGCGCGCATCCCATCCAATAAATCGCAATAATCTTTGTGCTTTGTTACTATTGATACTAAATAAAGTCTCAAATTTCAAATTACGTCCATTTTCTTACGAAATTCAAAAACAAATACCGTTTTGGCGCTGTGGCGTGAGATCGCTCTGGCTCAGCTCAGCTCAAGAGAAGCAGCAGCGCGGAGCGCACATGATCTCCTCTTCTGCCTTAATAATAGCAGTTACAGCGCGAAATAAACATGAATGAACGTCTGAAAGTGTGTTAAAAGATAGAGTACAACTTATCGAAATCCGTATCATGTCACATGGAATCGCTCAATCAGTGTTTCAACCGTGGAAAGACGGCAGTAAAACAACTTGTAAACAATGTCATGTAATGTCACATTTACCTCAGAAAAACCATATGTGACCATAAACTCGTTAGTCAGCTAGAAAAATTAACTCTAAAGAGGAGCATTTTGCTAAATATATGCACCATATTACATATTCATTATAATTTTTAATGTTCTTCGATATTTAATGCATGTTTGAATAAATCTGGCAAGTTTTTATGACAGCTTATTATAAAAATAAATAAGAGTGTAATTTAAGTGTTTGTATAGCTACAAATCAGTTAATTTTTACCTTCAATATTATAGTAGGCTAATGAAGCCTAGTAGGCTACAACTGACTCCCATAGTTTACAGCATTAAGAGATTTGTTTTCCTTGAGAAAATGTGCCATGTATTGTACCTGATATCCAAAATAATCCATATTGAATCGAATCGGAATCGAAATCGGAATCGAATTGTGAAATTTATGTCAATACCCAACCCAGCCCTAGTATGTAGGACTAATTTCTTACGCATCTTATCCCATGCCTCCGTTGCTAATTCCAAAACGTAATTTTAGAGTTAGTAACGGAGGTTTGAGCAGTGTTGGGGGTAACTCATTACAAGTAACTTGAGTTACGTAATCAGATTACTTTTTCAAGTAACTAGTAAAGTAACGCATTACTTTTAAAATTTTCAACAAAATATCTGAGTTACTTTTTCTAATAAGTAACGCAAGTTACTTTGTTTTCCCCTTTATTGACTGACTGCTCTTCTGTCCTAATGTTGAGACAAATCGAAGTGCAAAGGCGCTGTGTGTAAACATGATGGTTATTATAGTTCTAGATTAAATGTAAGCGTGGATTTACTCATCTCACTTGCACAAAAAAGATTCAATATTCCTCAAAATGAATAAAATCAGTGAAATGCAGAATCAGAACACTATGCAAACCTCCAATACCTAAATATGTTAAATAAAACATACATTTTTATGCATTTAATCTTTATTGACCAAAGTACTTGCTTCTGACCTCCGATTTTTTCAGTTAAACCATAAGCAAAAATGACTATAGATTTTTTTATATGTTTTTATTGGTAAAGTAAGTGTTAAATTTGTTTCTCCTGCATCCTCTTCTTCTGTTACCCAGAACAGCAGCAGCTGACAGGTTTGTTTGAGAGGCGCCCACTACTGAACACTACTGTACTCTACTTTACAGGAGTAAATCTGCATTTCCTTCAGTCTGAGGCTTATTATTTCACTTTTGGTGTGAAAGGGTCTTTACATTTGCCCAAAAATATATATTTTTTTGGTATAAAAAAACAAGCCCAGCCCAGGTGGAAAAAAAGTAACGCAAAAGTAACGTAACACATTACTTTTCTAAAAAAGTAACTAAGTAACGCAATAAGTTACTTTTTAAGGGAGTAACGCAATATTGTAACGCATTACTTTTCAAAGTAACTTTCCCCAACACTGGGTTTGAGCCACTGATAGCAGACTAATGCTGGGACACACGTAGCCTACTACGACTTGCTGAAACATTCGAAGACTGACTGTTTCCATCGACTGTAGGTCTTAAACACCGACTGTGAACAGACTGAACGCGCTGAAACGTATGGGAATGATCAGTCATGACTCATAAGTATCAAATTACATTTATACATTCAAGAGAGAGAGAGAGAGAGAGGGGGAGGTTGCAATACACTGTAAAAAATGATCGTGATTTTAACGGTAAAAGACTAAAAATGCTACAGTGCAAAACTGTTAATTGGTTAACAGAAAGTTTCCTTACTATATACGGTAAATAACTGTGATAGATCTAACGGTACATTTAATGTAATTTTACTGTAAAATACCGTTAAATTTACAGTTTTTGAAAGTGAAAAGAACAACTCATTGTATAATTTACAGTGAAAAACCGTAAATTGACATTCCCACAATTCCCTGCATGACACTTCACATTTGATTTATTTTTGTTGAAATAACTATGTTTCTTCTTAGTTCTTTTCTAATCAGTTATGTACATTAGGGTTTTATGTTACATTTAATGTTGTTAAATTAATGTTTATTGCATTTTTAAAATTTCATGTGTGTTACCATGATGGTGTTTAACGTTAGTGCGAATAACACTGTGCAGCTTCAATATAATAGTATTAACTTTCTTGTGGAAGATTGCTTGTGATGAGCTTTGATTTATCATGTGACTCTCATCACTGCTGTGTTGGTTGTCAGTGTATTACAATGGTACAAAACAGATATTAATACTTTATTAGGTTGGTAAATTATCATTATATCAGATAATAAATCACGGCATAATACTGTTAATTTTACGTTAAGTCTGTAAAACCAAAAATGTTGATACCGTATTTTTGACGGTAAAGTTCTGGTAACCACAGCTGCCAGTTTTTTTCCGTAAAAACAACGGGATTTTTTTTACAGTGTATGAGACAGAAAAGCACGTGCGTCAATAGCCAATACCAAAGCCCGTCTACGGAAAGCCCTGGCACTTCCTATTAGCCCCATTGTATCGATCTTGGTTGCAGTTCCATTAGAATTCCACTGTGCAGACTGAATGGGAGTCAATGGGGCTAGACGGCTAAATTTGTCTCTTTCACCCGATTGCCGTTGAGAAATCTCAGATTTTATTGTAGGTTTTGCAAATTCAACATGGGTTATAGGTCGAAAATTGAATGAACGAGTAGTTATGTCCTTTCGATTTCTTACAGGTTGAGTTGATGTTGCCCATAACACACTAGCATTCTGCTAATGAACGCTGATTGGTCAGTGAAGGACTGATTACGACCAGAGATACCGCTTGATGGCATCCGAAGAGGGACCAGAAACAAACAAAACAAAAACACTTTCTAGCACTGTGTCAGCTGTGTTGTCGATGCCTTGAGAGAAAAGAAAGTGCAGAGCGCGAAAGCAACAAAGCGACTGAAGGATTGCCGTAAAGCAGTATCTCTGGTCGTACGATGTGTATGACGTCATTGACACTTTAAAATACTTTTTAAAGCAAATAAGTGACTCTAAAAAATCTAACACCCAGCAGTGTGTAATTTCTTTGCATCTCCTTTCGAATACAACATTCAAATTACTAAAAAAAAAATTATATCCTGAGAAAAGCGCCCCGCATGGACAGAGACGTGCAGTCCAGAAACCGGAAGTAACCAGAGAGTGCCAGTTCTCTTCATATTAGACATTCTCTGCCAATACATAGTTCCCACATGACGTCACAACATACGGGCATTTGCCGACCCGGCGCCATTTCTGTGGGCATGTTTCAGGCAGAATATTAGAAGAAGAAGCTGAAACGAGATAATTTCGTGATAAAAAGTGAAAATGGTCATCTCCTGCTGGGTCAATGGATGTTCAAATCGTGCCGGAGGTTCAGTTAAATTTGGATTTTACAGTATACCCGTCTTTAGACTTCATGAATGTGAGAAGACTAAGCTTTTGTCAGAACAACGACGGAGGTTATGGCTCCGAGGATAATAAACAAGTAAACACTTTGCAGTTTGAATGATGTCCTGTATTAACATAATGACGAGGTATTAAAAACAACAGTTTCCACTGTTCGATCACGCGCGCGACACACACACACACTCCAGCATTGCAATCTCAGATTATGTCCCTAAAGAACCCGCGTATAGAGTAGTTCCGCATTACATTAATTAATTTGCACGCGAGTTTTATTTATTTTTATACCGTGTATATTCATGCACTGAACCGTGACGCCCATACAGTTTCGGTTCAATATGAAAACATGTACCGTTCCAACCCTATTCTTCAGTGTACAAATAAGTACATGCATATTACAGAAAGCACCGATGACGGTTATAAGGGCTGTTATGAAGGCTATGGCTTTTTAATAGACAGATAGTCTAGCATCACGCTAACTT